GGCCTCGGTTTTTCGCACGTTGAGCTGAAGAAAGTTGTCTCTCGTCCAGGACTCGATGTCGGACAGGCAGCTGTCAGGACATCGGTGGTCGTGGAGTTGAGAGTAGAGGAGGAAAGGTAGAGTTGGGTGTCATCCGCATACATGTGGAAGTTAACTCCATGTCTGCGGATGATGTCACCACAGGGGGAGCATATAGAGGGTGAAGAGGAGGGGACCGAGGACAGAGCCCTGAGGGACACCACATGAGACAGTACGGGGGGTGGAGGAGAAGCCATTCGTCGAGACAAAGTGAAGACGGTGAGAAAGGTACGACCTAAACCACTCAAGGACAGTGCCTTGAAGGTTGAGGTGGGAGGACAAGCGGTGGAGTAGGATAGCGTGGTCGACCGTATCGAATGCTGCCGATAGGTCGAGGAGGACGAGGAGGCAGAGGGAGCCCTGGTCACAGATGGTCAGGATATCATTGGTGACCTTGACCAGGGCAGTTTCTGTGCTATGGGCAGCACGGAAACCTGACTGAAGGGGTTCAAAAAGTGAATGGGTGGAAAGGAAAGAGCGCAGTTGGGAGGCGACAACTCTTTCCAGGACCTTGGAGAGAAAGGGGAGGTTGGAGATGGGCCGGTAGCTTGATAGCTGCGACGCATCAAGGGAGGGTTTTTTCAGGGTGGGCGTGATGGTGGCAGTTTTTAAGGGAATGGGGACAGAGCCAGAGGAGAGGGACAGGTTGATGATGTCGGTGATATGTGGGGCAAGAGAGTGGAGCTGGGAGATAAGGAGTGGAGTGGGGATGGGGTCAAGGGAGCAGGTGGTTGGTTTTAGGGATAGGATGAGTTTGGTGACAGAGGGTGGGGAAACGGGTACAAAAGTGAGTAGGGGAGGATGGGTAGCAGTCGGAGTGTGGGAGTGAGGGGGTGGGGGGTTGGTGGATGTTGGAGGGGAAGTGACCGCGGAGCGAATTCCCTTGATCTTGGATTCAAGGAAATCCAGCATCTCCTCGCAGTGAAGGTTGGAGGAGATGACCTGCGCGGGGTGGCGGGGGGGACGGAGGAGTCGGGTTGTGGTGGAAAACAGTAGCCTGGGGTTGTTCTTCGCCTCCAGGATTATCCTGGAGTAGAAGGACGACTTGGCCGAGGCTAGAGTGGAGCGGTAAATTTTGAGGAGGTCCAACCAGATTTGTCGGTGGACCGTTAGGCCAGATTTGACACAGGTGCGTTCAGCAGCCCGCACCTGGCTTTTCAGTGAGCGGAGGTGGGTGGTGTACCAGGGGGAGGAGCGGGAGTAGGAGACAGGAGGAGTGGGAGTAGGAGACAGGGAGGAGCGGGAGTAGGAGACAGCTCATTAAGAGTGAGAAAATGGATTATGAGGGCAAGCTAGCTAGGAACATTAAGACAGATTGTAAGAGTTTTTATAAATACATCACAACAACAACTTGGATTTATATAGCGCCCTCCACGCCGGACAGCGTCTCAGAGCGCTTTATAGTAACGGATCCCGGGACCGAGCCAGGGGGAGGGGGAGGAAGGTGACCAAAGGCGCAGTCGAAAAGAAAGGTCTACAGCAGAGACCTGAAAATGGGAAGGGAGGGAGCGAGATGAAGGGAGTGAGGAAAGCAGTTCCAGAGCCTCGGGGCATAGTGGCTGAAGGCACGGCCACCGAGGGTGGAGAGGAGGACTCGGAGGAGGCCAGACCCGGAGGAATGAAGGCAACGTTTAGAGGAATAGGCTCGCAAAAGTAAATGTGGGTCCATTACAGGCAGACACAGGAGGAATTATAATGGGATATAAGGATATGGCAGAGTCCCTAAATAAATACTTTGCTTTTTTCTTCACGTTAGAAGACACAAGAAGTTTACCAGAAATAGAGATGAACCAAGGGGCTAATGATAGGAAGCAACTTAGGGAAATTTACATTAGCAAAGAATTGGTGCTCGAGAAATTGTTGGCATTAAAAAGTGACAAGTCCCCTGGCCCTGATGGTTTGCATCCTAGGGTTTTAAAAGAGGTAGCTCATGAGATAGTGGAGGCCTTGTGTCTGATCTTCCAAAATTCTTTGGATTCTGGAACGGTTCCCATTGATTGGAAGATCGCAAATGTCACACCACTATTTAAGAAGGGTGGGAGAGAAAAGATGGGGAACTATAGACCAGTTAGTCTGACATCGGTGGTAGGGAAAATTCTAGAAGCCTTAATTAAGGATATCGTAGTGGGATACTTAGAGGATCACAATATGATTAGACAGAGTCAACATGGCTTTACAAAAGGGAAGTCATGCTTAACAAATCTTTTAGATTTTTTTGAGGACATATCAAGTAGATTAGATAGGGGGGAATCAGTGGATGTAGTGTATTTAGATTTCCAAAAGGCATTCAATAAGGCGCTGCATAAAAGGTTGATTCACAGACTAGGGCCCATGGAATTAAGGGGAATATATTAGCATGGGTTGAAGAATGGCTAATGGGAAGAAAACAAAGAGTAGAGATAAACGGGTCCTTGTCAGATTGGCGGGATGTGACTAGTGGAGTGCCACAAGGATCAGTGCTTGGACCTCAACTATTTACAATCTACATCAACAATCTAGATGAGGACATCGAACTTAATATATCCAAATTCGCGGATGACACTAAACTAGGAGGGAGAGTAAACACCGAGGATGACATTAAAAAAATGCAATGAGATATAGATAGGCTGGGTGAGTGGGCAAATAGGTGACAGATGAGATATAATGTAGGGAAGTGTGAGATCATCCACCTAGGTAGCAAAAACAGTAGAGCAGATTATTTTTTAGAAGGGGAGAGACTAGATAGTGTTAGCATTCAGAGGGACTTGTGACACCAGTCACAAAAAGTTAGTTTGCAGGTACAGCAAGCAGTTAGGAAGGCTAACGGTATGTTTGCATTTGTTACAAAAGGGTTAGAATATAAGAGTAGGGAAGTCTTGCTGTAACTGTATAGGGCCCTGGTGAGACAGCACCTAGAGTATTGTGTGCAGTTTTGGTCTCCTTATTTAAGAAAGGATGTACTCACCTTGGAGGGGGTACAACGTAGATTCACTAGGTTGGTACCAAGGATGAGGGGGATGAGTTATGAGGATAGGTTGAGCAATTTAGGCCTATATTCTCTAGAATATAGAAGAATGAGAAGTAATCTTATAGAAACTTGTAAGATTATTAAGGGGCACGACAGAATAGAGGGAGACTTTATCCCCTGGTTGGAGAAACTATAACCAGGGGTCACAGTCTTAAAATTGGGGGTAAGCCCTTTCACACTGAGTTGAGGAAAAACCTCTTCACTCAGAGGGTAGTGAATTTATGGAATTCTCTAGCCCAAAGGGCTGTAGATGCTCAGTCCTTGAACATATTCAAGACTGAGATTGATAGATTTCTTGTAGATAAAAGGATTAAGGGATATGAGGTTAAGGTGGGTAGGTGGAGTTAGAATAGATCAGCCATGATTTTATTGAATTGGCAGGGCAGGCTAGATGGGCCAAATGGCCTACTCCTGTTCCTAATTCTTATGTTCTTATGTTCTTAATGCTTGGCAAAAGCATAGAGTTCTGGGATAATTACTGGCAGGTCTTGTGATGCCGTTTCATCACAAACTTATAGAAGATGACAACTGTCAGTCTGTGAATTAGGCGGTCAGGACCAAAAGTTACAAAAAATCAAGGATGAATTGAGCAGTTGAAGTGCAAAAACACAATCTGAAACATGTAAAACCTTCCAACTGTGTCCCTGGGTAGAAAATTCAAAAAATCAGTGGAAAAAAAGGCCTCAGGGTACCTAGAGTAGAGCAAAAGCAACAACTTTGATCTGTTATTTTTTATAAAAGAAATGCAGCACATAGTGCTAAGCTTTAAGTAAAGCATAGTTCTTGATTATGAACTAATCTTTGCATAGTTTTCCCTATTGTTTGATCAATTATATTGTAATTGCTGTAAAGTACTTACTATGTTTGTCTTATTAGTATTTCATTCATGTAATATCGTACATTGGTGTTTCAAGCAACCACTTAACATTGAATGTAAGCAAATGTAGATTAATTCTGCATGGAGTTTGTTTAGAGTTAAGTATAGGTTTGTGCCAGTGAAAGCATTAAGGAGATGGAAAAATATTAAAAATCAAAGTAGCAATTTATAAAGGATTTATAAACACAGCCAAAGATTTTAGATCCTGTTTTTTGGGATAATTTCTTAGCTTTTTCCTGGGTATTTTGAAAGTGCTTCGCTAACATCACCAAGTATCAAACTCACACCCATCACCTCAGTTCTCACCAAATTCATTGTCTCTTTGAATATCAGTAGATCAGTTTCAAGGCTCTTAACTTCATCTATAAATCCCAGTACTTTCTCATCTCTCCGACTTCTCGTACCCCACTCCTCTGCTCGGTCCCACCACTTGGCAAACTCCAGCCTGCTATGCATTCCCTGCTCTCTCCACCACACCATCGGTGGTGCAGCCTTCAGATATAATACCCCTGACCTCTGGAAATCCCTCTCTTCCCCTTTGTTTGGCTTTCTTCCTATCTATCTTTAACTTCTGCCTTAAAAAACGATTTCTTCAAACACATCTATAGCCACCCTCTTTTCACCCATTCCCTCTCCTTTGCTTGGTGTCCAATCCCATCTTTGTAAAACTCTCTGAGATGTTAGCCTATGTGAAGGGTGCTATATAAATGCAAGTTGTTGATGTCAGTCTTCAAAATTTGGCTCACGTTCCAACTCTTCTGGAAGGAGAATAGTAGTACTTTGATGGTTATAAAAAGTAATAATAATGCTGGGTACTCCCTGGATCCCCACAAGGTGGGAAATGTAATGTGGCAGTAGTAAAGCAGTGCACAAAATACTGTAAAATTTAAAATCAAAAGAGCACCAAATACTATTTATTTTCCTCATAATGAAACAAGATTGTAAATGAGGAAAATATCACAGAACTGATTAACCATCATCAGCCATTGGTTATTGTTTGGATAGAGTACTTTGGAAACAGTAAGATTTCCTACCCACCTCAAATGCAGCACAGGACTTGACTGGGTACAGGTAGATGTTGGTAAGAGTTACTGACTGACAGTCAGAATTGATTAATTCTTCATGGTTTTCATGGATATAGCTGTTCAACTTTGATTGACTCTCTGAAACGTGACAATTTGGAAGAATCTGAATTCTGGCAGAATTCCGTTCTCTTTGACTGACTTCCTGGTCTTCTATCTTTCTTTTATCTGTGTGATTCTCGGTCCAAAATCCACATCTCTCCTTCATTATTTCAGTTCCTGACAAGTTAGACAGGATGGTTTTGTCAAAGCAGACTGGATTCTTCACAAAAGAATCGATGATGAACCTTAAGAATCTTTGTGCATCTTCAAATGTGGACATGTAGCCAAAGGATATTCTGACTGATCCAGTGGGGAGGCCATCAATCAGATCCATAGAATCCCCACAGATGTGGCCAGCCTGTTGGAAATAATGGAATAGTTTAGTCATCCACATAACAATTTCGGATGGTATAAAATATGGAAACACACTGACATTTTATGTATACAATCAGAAATGCAAGTTTCTTAAACATTGGATACCTATCACAAACAAATAGCTTGATGTCGAAGAATTGAAAATTGAACATTTCTGGCAGAAAGTTTGTTACTGTTATTGAATCTTGCACATAGCCCCAAATAGCAGTCTGCAACATGTTCCGTGCTTATAAAACAATAAGGGATTTAAATTAAGCTTCAAGAAGCAAATTATGCAACTTCAGTTACGCTGCATTTTTGGAACAAACTCCAGATTCTAAATCCTTCAAAAAAGAAGAAAGTATCTGATTGAGAAAGGCATTTGGGTGAATAGTTCAAATAGAGATGGAAAGATTTGATCGTATTTCCCCTCCACCACCCTCTTGTCTCCCATCCCCAGCTTGGGTACCAAGCCAGTATCGTTAAGTGCCTTGGGGTGTTTTCCTGACGTAAAAGGTGCTATATCGATGTAAATTTGTAGTGTATTGTAATGCAGCACTTCACTGTTTCCAAATCCATGACCCAGGACTTGAATCTATGATCCTCTGACCGAGAGTTCCAACTGAGACACGCTGACACTTACACCTTTAAATATATTTAATCCAAAAATACAGTATCAAAAGAGCTAAATGTCAAAGAAACGAACATATATATATATGTGGCTAAAATGTACAGGACGAATAAAGGCACAACATTTAAAGTCTACTCTTCTGAGATAAAATGAATAGGAAACTAAATAGGAAATAGGACACAGACCCAGTCACTCTTATGTCAGGTATAGTATGGATCAAATGCAGAGTGAACTTTCATTTATTCTGTCCCAACAATATGTCAAGTGAACTTTATCCTGACCCAGCAATATGTCTTAACTGCAACTTCAAAAGATGACTCCTGCTGGGCCAATGCAAATTAATTAATTTCCTTCATAAACCATCTCTCTGAAGTTTATTACCAACTTACTGCCAAAAAGTGCAAAATACACTTTTTTCCTATCAGTCTACAACCACTAAAATCTGTGTTCATACACTGTGCAACCCTAAAACATTTGATCCCATTAGTCCATGCCAATGTTTATGCTCAACATGACTTTCCACTCATTTGAATCCCCTCTCCCTTTCCCGCTTCCCTATTGTTTGATATCAATTATGTTGTAATTGCTGTAAAGTACGTGCTGTGTTTGCCTTATTAGTATTTCATTCATGTAATATTGTACATTGTTGTTTCAACCAACCACTTAACATTGAATGTAAGCAAATGTAGATTTAATTCTGCATGGAGTTTGCTCAGATTTAAGTGTAGGTTTGTTCCAGTGAAAGCATTAAGGAGTTGGAACAATATTAAAAATCAAAGTAGCAATTTATAAAATATTTATAAATACAGCTAAAGATTTTACACCCTGAGGTGTCTATTAGGCTGTGTTGGATACATTAGCTCCCCAGGATTACCTTGGAATATAGCAAATATTTATGTGCTGTCACTACCAGGAAATAAAATAAGGGAATAAACCTGAAACATGTAAAACTCTCCAATAATAATCCTTGCAATTGATATAGCACATTATCGCATTTCAAAGCACTTCAAAGAGTAATTCTGTAAAGTGTAGTGACTTTATACTTATAGCTGAACATGGTAGCAAATTTGTGCACAGCAACAACAAATTACACTTGTAGAGCACCCTTCACGTCAGAAAGACTGTGAGTTGGGGTCAGGAGGGGTGGAGGGCATAATTGCCTTGGCCACCCTCATTCAAAGGATGACAATGCAGCACTCTAGCACTGGATTTGAGCGTTAGCCAAGTGTTCCAAGGGAGTTGTGGGGCTTAAACCCACAACCTTCTGACTCAGGGGGGGAGTGTTTCTATGGAGCCAGCTTGACACCAAATCTTATCCAGTGACACTTTAAAGGTATGAAATGGCATTAGAGTGACTAAAACTATTTCATAATTGATTATAGTCACTTTGGTAATGGGAAATAATTATTTAAATTGCTCCTTCTTTGAAAGTGCTTTCGTCGTTGGATACACTAGATATGACTGGATATGCTTCATAAAAATGTTTGTCGCAATTATTCTTGAAATCGGAATTTTTATCAGAAAATGTTAAGTGTACATTACTGCTGTTGCCATTGACAAATATGGATGCGGAATGCTGGAGTAAGAAACTGCAGACATTTCTCAGTGCTTAAAAGTAACCTTGTAGCCTTGAGCCATAGAAAGATAAAATAACTTACAGGGTGGGGGGGAAACCATTTATAATTTCTTCTCAGCATCATGAGGTAGCTGTGCTACAGGGCTTAAAGCTCATTTAACTGGTACGTGTAACATTTTCTCTGCACTTGGATTGCTCCCCATTTTCTCCTTTGAGAACACTAATGCCTCTTCTAATTTCCTCTGTAAAAGTCGATTCCTCAGAGTGCAGTTTTGGTGTTGGAGTTAAAAGTGAAGCTGGTTACTGTCACTAACAAATCCAATTATAGTGATCGTTTTATCTAACTGTAATATGTGAAATATAACGCTGTTGAGCTAACAAATTAAGGGCTTCTGAGTATAAAGAAAAGAGGTGCGAAGAGAAAAATGACTAAGAGATAATCCACCCTGAGCAGCACACACAAGACAAGACTATAAACATCTCACGTGCTGGTTTCATGTTATGGCCACAGGCCATGGTGTTCAAACTCAGCATGCACAAAATCTATGCAAAGTGCTTCATCCTAACTAGATAATTCAGCTTTTACCACATAGAACACCACATATAAAAACTATTTTGCACTTTCTTATTTTTATTTATGTTATTAGTACAGTTGCCAAATATAAAAAGTAATAGCATCTATACACAGAAAACTACACGGAAAATAATATTATGATGATAGGAACAAAGAAAATAAATTGGAAAGTGTTACTACAAGGTACTTGGTTCCCAATAAGAACACCTTGCTAATATTGTAATAGTTGGAAGCCATAAGTCCAAAAAGTCAGAGGAGAGACATTTAATTAAAAGCTAGTTATGGATGAGGTAGAGCAAGTGAGGATTTATGTCCTCAAAGAATGAGACAAAATAAGTGAGGATTGTGTCCTCAGTGACTGAGTGTGTCATTCTGGCTCATCTGATAGCACTTTTACCTCTTGAGTCAACCTCTTGGGTTCAAGCCCCATGTCAGAACCTGAAACTTATATAGTCAAAGTTGACACTCCACTGCAGTGTTGGGAGTGTGCTGCATTGTCAGATGAGACCTTAAACCGAGGCCCCATCTGCCTGTTCAGGTGAACGTTAAAGATCCAATGGCACTATTTGAAAAGAGAAAGGAGTTTCTCCCAGTGTCCTGACTAACAATCCAACAATTCCCAAATAAAAGTGGTCATTCACTACATTGCTGTTTGTGGGAACTGCTTTGTGCTAATTGGCTGCTGCATTTACCCACTAAACATTGAATCATTCCACTTTATATCCCATAAAGCGCTTTGGGACGTTCTCCTGACATGAAAGGAGCTATACCATTTTAAGGATAATTATCATGATTATGATTTTTTAAAAACACTTAAATAAGGGTCTGTGTTATTTTGGTACGTTTTTAGCAAAAGTTGCAGTATTTAACTCTCCAGATTCCATTATTAGCTATCCATATATCAGGCTTGATCGTTTTCCCTTCAGAGTTGGAAAAAAAGAATGCTAAAAAAGATAGGAAGAAATAATCCTGGTAGGCAGAACTAAGTTTATCAGAGATATTTCTGATCACAGGAAAGAAAGTGGAGTCCTGTAGCTCAGTGGTTAGAGCACTCGCTTTGCAAGCGAGAGACCTGAGTTCAATTCCAGGCAGAGCAAAACCTTGGGCAAGTTTCCTTACTCCACACACCTAATAATAATCCCTCCAAAACCAAAAACAATAATAAATTGGTCATTTTCAATCCACGACTGTTTGTGGGACATTGCTGTGCGCAATTGGCTGCCGCGTTCGCCCACAAATATACAGTCAATTCACTTTACAGTATATTCTGTGAAGCGCTTTGGGACGTCCTCCCGACGTGAAAAGCGCTATATCAAATGCAAGGATTATTATTGTTATTATTATTATAGAATAATCTATTTGTATTCCGGTTACTTTTTTGTAATAATAATACTTTTATTTGATAACACTTATAAATGTCAAATGTAGTGACTGTTTATTTGTAGGTAAATGTGGCAGCCAATTTGTACACAGTGGGTCCCACAAGCAACCTTGAAGTGAATGACCAATTTCACTTTCTGATTGATGACTAAGACAACAACAACAACAAGATTCCATTTATAAAGCGCCTTTCACGTCAGGAGGACGTCCCGAGGCGCTGCACAGTTGGGTCATGACCCGAGCAGGGGGAAATGGTCAAGGTGAGGGGAGGGGAGGGAGCGAGGAGGGGGGAAATGGTCAGGGTGAGGGGAGGGATGGGAGGGAGCGAGAAGGGGGAAGAGAGTCGAGAGGGGAGCTGAAGGCACGGTCAAAGAGAAAGGTTTTGAGACCGGCCTTGAAGGAGGAGAGGGAGGAAGCAAGGCGAAGGCACTGGGGGATAGAGTTCCAGAGCTCGGGCTGAGAGGCTGAAGGCCCGACCACCAATGGTAGGGCGATTGGGGCGGGGGACGTGGAGCAGACCGGAGCCGGAGGAATGGAGGGTACGGGCAGGTAGGTAGGGGGATAGTAGGTCGGAGAGGTAGGAGGGAGCAAGGCCGTGAATGGCCTTGTAGGTGAGGATGAGGATCTTGAAATCAATCCTCTGGGGGATGGGGAGCCAGTGGAGGCGAGCGAGGGTGGGAGTGATGTGGTCCCGAAGCCTGGTGCCCGAAGACACTAAAAGAGACTTCCTAGTCTTTCCAAATAGTGTCATGGGATCTTTAAAGTCCACCTGAACAAACTGAAGGAATCTTGGTTTAAGTCTCATACAAAGAACAGCATCTTGACACTACACTGCACTATCAACTTAGACTGTGACCTCAAAGTCCCAGTGTAGGGCTTGAGCCAGATGTGGACTTGCTACCTACTGAGCCAAGCCTACATCTCAGATATTTAGCAGAAAGTCAAAAAGAAAACACAAATAAGTGTAAAAATAGTCCTTGTAATTGTTGATAGAGCGTAACACATGAAAATACCTCAAAGTGTTTCACAAGTAATTACTACCATGTTTAGTGACTTTGTATCTGTAGGCAAATGTCACAGCCATTTTGTGCACAGCAAGGTTTCAAAATACTGACAGTGTTAATACAGGACTGTTGGTCAGATCACTGGGAAAAGCGTCCTTCTCTTTTTGAAAGGTGTCATGTAATCTTTAACATGCGCCTTAACAGACAAAACGAGAACTCAATTTTAATCGCTCTTTCAACAGACAGCTCCCATAACAATGGAAACAAATTACCCAGGAGACAGAAAATCTTATGTATCTATGCATTTCAAGAAAAGACCACGTTCAGTTACAGTATTTTGTATAAATTGGTAAATTACCGACTCAGAATTCCATTATCAATGTTTGTGTGCTGTGGTGCATCTAAAATAACAATTCTCCAATGTGCACTCTTGCACTTCACATATGTCAGGAAGACTGAACTCAAGATGTTCAAATTTTTAATGTCATAAGTAGTTTTCTAAAAAAAACACTCCAGCTTTCTGGCTCAAAATGGAATCATCAGCTTTCAGCCTTCCTTTCAGGGATTTCTGGTTTTAAGTCAAAATCATTACCAAAAAGATAGGAAACCTCAACTCAGTCTTGCATGCTGAAATACAAACAAGCTGAACTAACGCTCACCTGTAGGTTCTTTCTGACATCTTCATTACTGATTCCTAGGTGTTGTTGACAGCTTCCAGTGTTACAAAAACAACCCGTGCGGAGATGGATGTTGTACAAACTCGCCATCCTATCCACCTGTAAGAGTGAATCAATTTAATGTCATAAACCTGAATGTCTCTGTACAAACCTAATAAAGTAAGAAGGATTAAGGAAGCTAAAACATTTTTTGGGCTTATTTTAGGCTTAAGGGGTTGGAGGCCAGAGGGTCCTCTATTTCAAGTAATTAGAAAATAGAATAGAATAGCAACAACGATATCCAATGTGAACTGAGAGTTTCTTTACCATGAGTGAAAGAGATGGTAAGGATACCAAGAACTAAATGAAAAAGTACTACACTGGAGAAGGGAAAGAACATTTTATTTGATCAGCCTGGTGCTTGACAGATGCAGAAAACCATCAACGTGCTTGAGAGTATCCAAACCAGACTTAAGAGTTCCACATGGGCATGCCATCTATGGATGGAAGTTTCCCTATGTCTGGAATGGAATGTGTACTCTCACCTGGAGGTACGTACTATTCTTACCTCATTCTGGAAAGTGTTAGGGTGGTAGGAGCCAAGACTTGGGAACCCTAGAGTGTGCATTGAGTATTGCAGCTGAATGACAGGTCAGTGTGGGAAGAAGTCCTTCTTTCCTGTAGATGCTTTCCTTTTTTTAAAACCTAAATTCACCTCATTGCTTGGTCCTGGACTTCACAAATGGTTTCAGGAAACAATAATTGTTGCATTTTATATTGTGCCTTATCATAGCATCAAAACATCTCAAAGTGTTTCGCAGGACTTACTGTAAAATCTTAGTGATTGTGTATTTGTAGGCAAATGTGGCAGCCAATTTACTCATGGCAATATCCCACAAACAGCCATGAAGTGAATGACATTTTGCTGGGGAAGATGGTCAGTTCTGGCCAGAACACTGAGAGAAACTCCCTTCTCTTTATGAATAGTGCCTTGGGATCTTTAGTATCCAGTTTAACAGGCTTACATCAGTTTTGATGTCTCAATGAAATACTGAAATAGTGTCTCTGACAAATGGAGCACTCCCCTAGCACTACACTGGAGTGTCAGCCTGGCTCTAGACTATGAGCTCAAAGTCCCAATGTGATACTTGAACCCACAACCTTCTAACTGGTAGGTGAGAATAGTAAAAACTGAGCTAAGACTGATACTTTTATCTCTCCACCGCATCCCGATTAACTCAGAATCTAAAGGAGAACCTTTTGCATACATGTCATATACCACAAGCTTAACCAGCATTAGCACTTTGCTTTCACTGAAGAAAAACAAGAACAATCATAATGACTTTTTGCGCTTCCTCAGCATGTCTCGAGCCCATTGTTCAAGCAAAGGATGGTGACCACTACTTCAGTTACTGATATAAATTAACAAATTGTCATGGATGACCCTTGTATTTTCCAATTGATATCTTCAACGTTTCAAGCTATGCAGAGCCATAATAGCTTTGGACCACTCGCCATGATGTCCCACTGAGTGTCTCAGTGTTCAAGATGGTGAGAGCAGTGCATGATCTTCCCCATCGACAGCACAACATAATCTACAAGCATGAGTGTCACAAGTGATACAGAGAAACTATTTCTTCTGGTGGGGGAATCTAGAACAAAGGGACATGATCTTAAAATTAGAGCTAGGCCATTTAGGAGTGAAATCAGAAGGCAGTTTTACACCCAAGGCCAATGGAAATCTGAAACTCTCTCCCCCAAAAAGCTGTGGATGCTGGATCCATTCACATCTTCAAGACTGAGGTGGATAGATATTTGTTAGGTCAGGGTATCAAGGGATACGGGGCAAGGGCAGGGGGCGGCTAATTGGAGTTGAGGTACAGATCAACCATTATAGAATAACTGAACAGCCTTGAGGGGCTGAATGGCATACTCCTATTTCTATGTTTCCATGTATTAAAAATGTCTGGAACAGATCTACCAAGTCCATCTCTCCCGATGCCACTCAATACGTTGTTGATGAATACCTTAAATAAAGTGGGCGACAATGGACAACCTTGCTTTCCTTCCATGGAAGTGGAATTGCACTGGACAGTGTACAGCATTTCAGACCCGAGCTGGGGTCAGGGGGGGGGAGAAGGGAGGGGAGGGGAAGGGGGGTGACCGTTGGCATGGTCGAAGAGGAGGGTTTTGAGGCACACACAAAAAAAATGTTTGTTTTACACACACCATTTACCCCTACAGTAGTGAAGCTCCTGGCCTAAAAACAACACGAGGCACTTCTTTGTTTCTGATTCAGGAAGGAGCCAGACCACATAAAACCAAGAATTTGTTTACTGCTATCAGTCTGTTTTTCATCACTAGATAATGAAAATCCAAGAAGAACAGCTCAAAATCACATGGATTGTGCAATATTTCTAATCAAATGCAGACAGTAAATAATTCTGGCCTTATATAATATAATTTTCAATGCATTAAAAAAACTTTAATCTATTTGAAGCAGACCAAAAGCATGGACTGCTAGATTAGAATTGTCTGCACATTTGTACAATTTAATAAAATTACCTTTAAATTTGTCACCCAACTCAAGAGAGGTTAGAAAATGCAAAATTCTTACACTTAAAGTCTTGGTCATTACCATAATGTATTTACTTGATCACAGATTTTACAAATTGTTTTCAGTTCTACTTTCTGTAACATGACTGCTGACTATGACAGATCATTTTCATAAAGCTCCTGCCTACGTTTTTTTTCCATCTGCACAAACTTTGAATGGATATTTTTGAATATACGAGAATGTTATATACTCAAGGCCGAGATAATTATGCAAAGTAAAATTCATCATTTATTGGAATATATCAATGCAAACATATTCAACAATTTGGTATGTATGGGGCATATGCTATAGTGCCAATAAACCTGCAGTTGAAGGCAATATTAAAAACATAAAATGCACCAAAAGACGAACATAATTAAGTGTTAAAGAAATTTTCAAACAATGTTTCCATTGGTTACAAAGTGTAGCCTTGTACAATAATGAATTTCTAATTTTCAAGAAATCAGTCACATATTTCATGAATGAAAACTGTGGAATTTGAATATAATTCAAAGCAGAAAGCTGAATAATAATTTTGCTTATAATATCAGAAAGGACAAATATCAAATGAAAACAAAACTTTTCTTCAAATTGTTTGTTTAACAACAGACTAAAATCCCCAATCCACTTCACACAGCATAAAGTGACGAAAAAGTCTATTTGCTGTATAATTGTGAAGATAATTAACATCTTCAAAATTTACAAGGCCACCATTATGAATTTAAAATCATAATCAATGAGTTTGGTTAACCTTCATTGATGTATCTCCAGTTATAAAGAACAAGTGATGCTTTGCAGGATATTTTTCCTTNAAAAAAAGGAAACTTCACTGAAATGCTGATGAATATTACTGTGGAAGAGAGAATTACATCACAACAGCATTCAGATTCTATTTTCAATCTAATTTGTTTGCTAATTTAACAATAGTTACTGCATTTTAAAGTAGTTAATTGAGTGAAGTGTTTTGAATTGTTTTGGTATGTTAAAGAACAAGTGCAACGACTGCATTATTATTCTTTTACTTCCTTTAATAAATCACCTACAGGGATTTCTTAAACTATTTTAGGTTCATATCTTATATGCACTTACGATTCATAACAGCACTTTTTTTAATTCCCCATAGTAAAAGGAGTTGAAATGTTTGCAAGCTCTTATTGAATACTGTGCTCTTGGCAATAATTAAAGAAATGCTCAAGGAGGAAAAAAGGATCAGTCACCAGAAAACTGATGTCATGGCAGTATTATTGCAGGCATTTGCCATCATCTTTAAATGCCACTAGTGCATTTTCAAACACTCCACAGTATTTACAAAGCATGCTTCTAACGTCAAACCATAGATATCATTACAGGAACTGAAATAAAACTGCAATGTTTTGACTAAATACATAGAAATGATGCCAATCTCCCTTCCTCCCGCCAGAAGTATTTAGCATCAGTAGCACAGTATAGTCTTCTTAATGTCATTGCCAACTAAGCAGTTATTAGGAGAGTTGAGGATTAAGTTGAGGAGAAATTCTCTGTTCTTCCTCTCTCCCTTTAGTCCAAATTGAGACAAAATTTCAGCCCAAGGTTTAACCCCACCCCCCGAAATGCTTCTTTAAAACAGACTTGCCTATTGATGTTTAATCCTTACGTCATTTCTGAATGATCTGGGGAAGTGTAAGGCCTAGGGATTAAATTGCTGACATCAGTGTGTAAATTGTACTCAAGCAGCAGAGCACATAACTCTCTAATAAAACAGCAGCACATCCTGTTACTTGGCAACAATAAGCATCTGCTGCAAAAATCCATAAATGAATACGGAATGGAAAAGACCTTTAGAATATCATCTTTTGTTTATCTCATTAAACTTTCTAGAATTTCCTAATTAGTTTATTGGAATCATTTGTGAAATTACTTCTAATTTCTCATAAACATAATTCTTTCTACACCATAATAAAGAACTCACCTGAAAGCTCACAATTCTGCTGTGCAAAAGGTAGTCTCAAGAACACAGTCCATATTATTAACTAATAATAATAATCCTTGCATTTGATGTAGGGCCTTATCATGTCTTTGAGATGTCTCAAACCAGAATATACTGTAAAGTGAATTGACTGTATATTTTGTGGGCGAAAATAGGTATCTTGTGAGGTTATATTTGATTAGACAATATAATAAAGTTAGAAGATTATTGCAAATTCTAAGATTGCTAATTCTAATTATAGATTTTACTGCACATACATATTGCCAACCAATTTGCTTGTCGCTGGCTCCAATACCAAAAGAAAATGGCCAACATCCAGATCCTGCTGATGTCAATTCTTTGTTCTGCCCATGTACAATGCTGGAATATTAGGCCTAACTGACAATCTACTGACAATAATAATAATAATCCTTGCATTTGATATAGCGCCTTATCATGTTGTCAAGACATCTCAAAGCGTTTCACAGATTAAACTGTAAAGTGAATTGATTGCATATTTTGTGGGCGAAATATTACAATGCACATACACATTTAATGGGGCCCACATCTTATTTTAATTTTCGCCCACAAATACACTTCATTTGGTATAGCACTTTGAGACATCCTCCCAACATGAAAGCACTATACAAAATTAAATGAAACCAGTGCTGTAATAAAATTGTGAATGGTTAAATGGATAGAGCTGCAGCTTATGGACCAGGAACTCGCGAGTTCAAATCTTGGTTTGTGCTGAGTGTACTGGTCTCATGGAGTGGCTAAATTGGCCTTGGCCTTCCAAAGGTTAGGGAGGAGAAAAATCAGCCGGGTTTCCCTGCACCTGGTCCCTCTAATAGCACCCTCAGACACAATGGATCAAATAGCCTTCTTCGGTGCTGTAAATTTCTAAAGCACAATATAAAGCACTGTTGTATATAAAGGACTCAAGCAATCAGAAATATTGGAAATGTGATTGGTTTCTTATCACTACCAGTTAGAATGTAACCTCACTCCTCCAAACATCCCATTATGTCACAGCCTTCAATATTGCAATGAAGTTACAAATCCCTGAGTAAACCAATAGTGAGCAAGCAGTTAATATGATTCAATTACAGATTTTGTGGTGGTATTGCTATTTCCTCCCAAAAATGGCTTTGGAATTTCATACACATAATACCATGGCTTTATTTATTAGACTTCCCAAATTAATTTAGTAATATATTACACCGATTGTGTTTAAATAGGGAGTTTCTCCTCATGACCTGGCCAACAATCACCCAAATAAAATTGGTCAGTTATTCTTTGGCTGTATGTGGGACATTTCTGTGTGCAAATTGGCAGCTACATTTGACCACAATTTTCATAGCCACACCACTTTATAGTGTATCCTGTGAAGTGCTTTGATTCTGATGTAAAAGGTGATATATTAAATGCAAGGATTATTATTAAAACCGCTTCAATCACATTATGGCTATTTGATGTTTTTAGACATTTTGAAAATTACATGTACATGGTTTTGTACATGTAATTCGTATGTACATTTATGTACATACAAATTACATGTACAAGATTGTTTTGCTGGGAGGGTTTTTTTCCAATTATTTGCTCAGAATAGTCATTTTTCAAAGTATAAGTACAATTTTCTACCACTTTTATTGCCGACCGAAACAACAAATAACAGTAATTAGTTGTGAAGCACTTCAAAACGTTTAAGCAGAGTATGGCTCCATAAGCAGGGTAAGGCACTACAAGCAGTGTAGGGCACTATAAGCAGGATAGGGCACTACAATCAGGGTAAGGCACTATAAGCAAGCTACATGATAAGTAAATTATGTCTATGTTTACTTCTTTCTATCTATTTAGAGTAACTCAAGAACAAGAGGACATTCAGCCTGTCGAGTCTGTTCTTAACAGTTTATTAGGTCATGGTAGATTTTTAAATCCCATTTCCTTGTCTTTTCTCTACACCACTTTATATCCATCATTTCCAAATATCTGTATGTCTACCTTTTGAACATTCCCACTGATTCTGCATCAACAGCCTTTTTTGAGCAGCATTTTTCACATTTTACAGCACTCTGTTTCCAGAAATGTCTCCTGACCTCATTTCTAACTGGTTGAGCTCTAATGTTTTAGATCGCTCTCTATCAGAACTCACCTAGTTTGTTAGTTCCCTCCATTATTTAAACACTTTAATGAAACCACCCTTAACGTTCTCAGCTTTAAAGAATAGCCCAAGTTCTACTCAACCTTTGACATAGTTACCTATGTGTGGCCCAAGTTATCTGAATATTCTTTGCAGCAGTGCACACTAAATTAGTTAATTAAATAAGTGCAGAAAACATGAGGTGAAATGGAAACCTAACAACATACCTGAGAGTAACCAACAATATCACCGTTCTCATCGAGTATGTTAAAATTAATGATAGGACCTTGCATGTCTGGGCTTTCAAATTCATTATCTCTATAAATATGTGACACCGGTGCTCCATTCGCGTGTTGCATTCCAGTGAGTACTATGTAGGTATAGTGGACCAGACTAAAGGTATGCAGCATTATATTTTCCATTCCACCTGAGAATAAAACAAAGAAACAGTTTTTAGGATATTACACTCAACAGTGTCATATCACAGTTGGGAGCATAATTAGAAGTACCCTGAATCTGTCAAAGATATTCATTAATTGGTGTAAACCGCACTTTATTTTTGGTCAGATGAGGTCTGACACATGCAGAAAATCATCATCATGCTTAAGAACATCCAAGCCAGACTGAGGGTTCCACAATACCTACACACGGAAATGTCCCTGTGTCTGGAATGGGATGTGAATTCTCAGCTCCACCAAAGATCACTTGGAACCAGAGACCAGTCTTGAATGAAGGAATGTGGAGAAGTTCAATAAGTACAGTCGGTGCTTGTTATAACGCACTTCGGTGAACCCGCAGTATATATTCCAGCTTCTGGCACTGGCTGCTTGTCTTCCTCGGCATAGCCCACAGACACAGACTCGTGGTAACTACTGGTTTCCCAGCAACTGCTAAAAATACTCACCTGAGCAGTTGCCAGCTTCCTGCATTGTACAAATATGTGAGATCAACAGAGATCTGATGAACTGAAACTACTAACTAACTATATTTTGCACCCAAACCATCATTTTGTAACAAGGTTAGACTGTACTTCGTTTCTATTTTTAGAGGAAGGTGAAAGGTGGACTTTCACACCAGAGAATGATGTGAAACAATATCTCCTGTAGCTCAAAATATTAAAAGGTAAACAATATTGAAATGATTAATAGGATTTCAAAATTCTGAAAGCAATTGAAAAAATAAATAATGTAAGGAGATTCCTACGGGTTGGTAACTCGGTAACATTGATCAATATTGTCACTGGAAGAGGTAGGGGATGTTGGAAGAAACATTTTTACGTAAAGGGTTGTTAAAATGTGGAATCCTTTGCAGCAAGCAGCTAACAAAATTCTGATTATTTAACCAGAAATTAGATAAAGAATTCAAGAACAATATCAAAGTGTATGTGAAGGGGACAGAAAATTAGAATTACGATGGTTAGCTCCAGGCCTGAAGCGTTGGGCCAAAGGGCAGAGTGGTCTCCTGTGCTGCAACGTCTGATTCTATATCTCTAGTCCACCTACAAAGTGCACAGTCAGTACACTTGTTAGAAAATATAGGTTTTTACATGTAAACAATTAAGTATATAGAGGAACTTTTAAGAACTTTAACTGTATCATTTAGATAAAATAATGGTAGGTTTGTATACAGCCTTTGTCTAAGTTGACCATGAGGGATGACCTTATTTGGAGGGTTTGCTGTAAATATTATGTTAACAGGCCATCCTGAACTGACTCTGTCTGGTTTGGGTGAAGGACGAAAAGACAAATAATGATTTGTAGTTTGTGCAGACCAACTCCAAATAAGGGCCAGGTCCGCTTAAACTGGTATGAGACTGTGACACCATAGACCATTCAATCCTCCTCCACCGCTTCTCCTCCCACCTCAACCTTCACGGTTCTGTCCTTGTCTGGTTCAGGTTCTACCTTTGACACCACCTCCACTTCGTCTCAGCTAACGGCTTCTCCTCCATTCCCCCCACTGTCTCGTGTGGTGTTCCTCAGGACTCTGTCCTCGGTCCCCTCCTCTTCACCCTCTACATGCTCCCCCTCGGTGACATCATCCGCAGATTTCTTGTAAACTTCCACAAGTATGCGGATGACACCCAACTCTATCTCTCTGCCTCCCCCTCAACTCCAGGACTACTGGCGTCCTGACCAACTGCCTGTCCGACATCAAGTGCTGGACGAGGGACAACTTTCTCCAACTTTCTCCAACTCAACGTCAGTAAGACCGAGGTACTCCTGATTGGCTCGCGCCAGCGCCTCCGCACCTTAGGCACTGGCAGCATCAGCCTCCACGGCTGCACACACAACCTCACTAAGCCAGTCAGGAACCTGAGTGTCTTGTTTGACCCTGAACTGTCCTTTTTCCCCCACATCCGCGCCATGACCGGCACTGCCTACCACCACCTCCGCAACATTGCCAGACTCCGCCACTGCCTCACCCTTCAGGCTGCAGAGACCCTCACCCACGCATTCGTCACCTCAAGGCACGATTACTCCCTCCTCATCGGCCTTCCCAACTCTTCCCTTCACAAGCTGCAGATCATCCAAAACTCTACAGCTCGTGTACTCTCACGCACCAGGCTCTGTGACCCCCATCACTCCCACCCTCGCCCGACTCCACTGGCTCCCCATTCCCCAGAGGATCGAATTCAAGATCCTCGTTCTCACTTTCAAGGCCATCCATGTCCTTGCCCCCTTCTACCACTCTGACCTGCTGACTCCCTACCAACCTGCCCACTCCCTCCATTCAGCGGTCTGCTCCATGTCTCCGGTCCGACCCGCCCTACCATTGATGGCTGAGCTTTCAGCCTCTCTGCCCCCACATCCCCCCATCCCGCAGTCCCTTCACCTCTCTTCCTCCCTTACCTCCTTCAAGGCCGGTCTCAAGACCCTCCTCTTCGATCGTGCCCTTGGTCGCCCTCCCACCTCCCTGCTTTCCCTCACCCCTACCCCACCCCTCCCCCATGCTCGGATGCTGACCCCTGACTATCTAGCGCCTTGGGACGTCCTCTCGAATTGAAAGGCGCTCTATAAATATAATTTTGTTGTTGTTGTATGAACCAGTTGTGTGAAACCTTGGGCAGAAAAAGGGAGTGCAGGAATGCGTAAGGATCTTCTGAAGACAGCTGTAACTCATGATTAGGAAACCAACGCACTATAATTAGGATTGCTTATGCTGAAAACGGGGCAGTAGTAGCATGGAATTAAGAGTAAGACGTTGAGACTTGCCTCGCTATGTGCTCTACTGTCCAGGGTTGGCAAATTGGCTAATATGATTCTGTTTTCTTTGACTCTGTAATTATTGATTGAAATTGATGCTGTCTATATTGAATTAACTTGTTGCACCCATTTGGGAATGTCAGGGTATTGAAATTCTAACACACTTTACATTATTGTGCATTGAGATGTCCTCCTGACATGAAAGACGCTACATCAAATGCAAGGATCATGAATATTAACTAATATTATAGTTCAATAGTACACTTGAACTCCATGTTTTCAGTTACGATTATAACCTGTCAAAAAGTAAGAAATATATAATGCTTGAGAAAACTCGTGACTAGTTTACAAATTGTTATCTGATGCTCTACAAACATTACAAAAAGTGCTGGAAAAATGTTAACACAATGAATTCATTGTGAATAAATGGCATTGAAGGTCTTTTCTGATGTTATTCTGGGTGGAAGAAAAGCTGGGAACACTGAATGTCATATTGTTACAATAACCTTCTGCACAAGGTATTCAATGACATTTTCTCAAAGAAGTACTACATGTTGACATGAATTTATAATATAGAGTGGCAAAAGAAAACGGTTTGCAAACTCTTTTCAAAAATGACAAAGCCACTTTAAGAAAATATTAATGTTATTAAAAGATTCTCATTTACTATTCAAATCATGCATCGGGGCACAAAACACCATCTTTGTGTTTAGAGCAATAATTATTTGCAAAAATATCAGAAGTGTAAATTGCTTTCAGAACCTGCAGGGGCTACACTTGTAAAAGAATAACTGAACAAAGTAAATAATAAATAAAAAAAAATCCTTGCATTTGATGTAGCACTTTTTATGTCTTCTAGACATCTCAAAGCGCTTTACAGAATATACTGTAAAGTGAATTGACTGTATATTTGTGGGAGAAATGCGGCAGCCAATTGCACACAGCAGTGTCCCACAAACAGTCGTGGATTGAAGTGACCAATTTATAATTTTTTTTTCTTGACGGATTATTTTCAGGGGTGTGGAGTAAGGAAACCCTGCTGGGAATTGAACCCAGATCTTTCGCTTACAAGGCGAATGCTCTATCCACTGAGCTACAAGGACTCCAGAAAGTAATTTGTGTTCTGATCAGTAAATTATTTAAATCGGCACATTCATAGTTACAACTAGTTCATCCTTTGCCATTACTGAAATTGGGGAAGCGGAAACTTTTAAAAATCTGCCAAGTTATAGTGTTGTAGCAGCAGTTGGTGCTGTACATGCTTTCAATATGCCTGTCTTTAGAACACAACAATGTCATTCAGTGCTTTGGAGATTAAGAATGATCTTAACAAAAAATAACTTAAAATTTATTGAGATTTCCCACTGGAAATCATTAGTGCAACTTTATTTAGAGGTTGACTTCATTTGTTAAAATAATGTATACTGCTGTGCGCAATTGGCTGCCGCGTTTCGCCCACAAATATACAGTCAATTCCCTTTTCAGTATATTCTGTGAAGCTCTTTCAGACATCTCGAAGATGTGGTAAGGCGCTATATCAAATGTAAGGATTATTATTATTATTATAATACTGTATTTCTAAGTATCGTGCAGACTAAACTGGATCAAACTGGTTCTGGCCTTGCACTGATGCTCATTCAGCTGAAGCATCAAACCCAGAGTGTGAAGAGCTACTGTGGCTGGAAAAGTATCTTCTTACTAATTGATGATGGGAGAGGATTCAGTGGAGATTCATTAATGTGGAACCACGGATGAGAGTTCTGTGGAGCATCCTGATAAATTGGATTTTTTTTTGCTGCAACAGAGAAGGCTCAGGGCGGAGGCCACTCAAGACAATCTGCCGCTCTGGGCAAACCTTCAGGGCGCTGCCTCTCTTCTTCCTCCTTTCTCCTTAGAAGTCGGTGAGGTCGATCACAGATCACTTGCTGGTCTAATGGTAAATCTGGGGCCCTCGCCTCTGCCTCTCCTATCAAATCTTAGTTGGTTTGGCTCACGACCTGAGGGTTGGGTTGGGTTGGCTGGTACGACAGCTATGGAGGTTGTGCCCTGGTCCTCAACCGCCTCTCTTTCAGTTTCTTCTGTACAAGGTACTTAAAAGTGGGGCTTGTAAATTGACTTGTAGTGTACGTGTTAGAAGTAGTGATTGCGGATGCTGGTGAGGAATCGGGAGACTTGGTATTCGTACCCAAGATGATATTGTGCATTTGCTGTGTTTGTTAAT